GTCAGCATCTTTGGGGCTGCGGACCTTTATAGTAGTCCCTTAAGTGATGTCCTGCAGACGTCCTCTGATCGGTCTGCCTACAGGAGCCAGCCACCTGAACATGCCATTTTCCTTTTTCACCACCCTTTAATGACTCCTGTTGCTCTTAAAATGAAGATTATGATTTTTACCATGGCCTGTGAGGCTCTGCTGTATGATCTGACCCTTCTGTGCCTCTCCAGCTTCATTCCCACCTTAATGCCTACCACACTGATGTCCTTTCAAGGCCTTGCATATGCCAGGCTCTTTCCTGCTTCCAGGTCTTTTTATGTGCTGTTCTCTATGTTTAGGGAATACCTAGAATACCCAGCCTTCCTGCTTCTTTGCCTGGTCATCTTTTATGTATCCTTCAACTCTCAGTTTAAATACCACTTCCTTAAGGAAACCTCTTATCTCCCAGGCAAGGTCAAGTCTCCTAATTAAATACTTTCCTGGTGCCCTCTGCTTCTTTCTTATAGTGCTTATCACAATTGTAATTAAAACAATAATTTATATCCTTACTTAATGTTGCCTTCCTTTCTAGAGAATAAGCTCTGTGGGATGAGGAAATATATTTTATTATTTCCGTGTCTTCCTCTGCCCCAGCTATATCCCCAGCCATTCACACAGTAGCTTCGTTCAATAAATACTTGTTGTTTGAGTGAATCTTGTAACTGTTTCATAGTTGTACAGGCAGTTTATGGCACATCATCATTATCTGTTAGTATGTTGAGGACTGATTTTGTTTTTAATCCTGAGAATGTTTGGAAAACCATTGAGTTTGCTTAGAGTGAAATTTGGCTCTTTAATTAATCTGTATCTGGACATAATCAAATGTATAATAATTGGTTCTTATGAAAAATATTAAAATATATGTAATTAGATTGAATTAAGAATAGTAGCTTGATACAAACTACAGGATGCCTACCCTTCCCTAAAAGAGACATATGGACTGTCAAAATGTCCACAAAAATTTTACTTTCTAGATGAGTGTTTTTTTCATTGTGTTAGTCATGTCTCCCTAAGCTGTTTATATTCAGTTATCCTAAGAGTTAAGTGTTTCATAATTCTTATGGAAAGATAAGAATGCTTTTCTGGTGAGGATCCTATGGAGGTTGAGCAAATGTGTCTTGAATTAAAAAAACTATTTTCTCACATTTTTGAGAATATACCACATCTGATTAAGATTATCCTGATAAAAAGAACAGAAAGTAACTTTGGAATGTTGGGCAGTTTTTTTTTTTTTTTTTTTTTGGGGTACAATTTGTTCTGCTTCTGTTAATAAAGCCAGATTTGAGTTGATAAAACAGATGGTCACTGTGTGGATCTCCCACTAGAAGGCATTTTCCACCGCCTCTGCTACACATGACAGGATTTTATTTCAGGTGTTGTGAGACTCAAATTCAATTACTTCCAGGATTTTTAATATTACAGTTCATTGAGGACTTTGGCTGGTAAGATCTATTTTTTACAAATGTGGTAAATTAAATTTTTCTTAGGCTTAAGAGTATTTTAAATTTCTATTTGAGCTTAAAATAAAACCTTACTTACTAAAGAGCCTTTTTTTCTCCCACAAGACATACCTGATTAAATCTTTAGTTCAAGAATTGGTTTTCTCTGGTTTGTTTACTAGGAGATGTTTGCTGAAATTTTATTTGTTTATGTTCAAAAAGTTTGTATTGGAACACTTTAAAAAATGACACTTGGTTATTTTGTAAAATTTGCAAGTAATTTAAAGTATCCTGTTTTCTTCAAAAAACGGAATATATCTTTTCTTCTTTTGAGTTATTTTGTGAAGTATGGTGAATATAGTTAGTAATATAATATTGTATATTTTTAAATTGCTAAGAGTAAATTTCAAGTCTTCTCACCATAAAAAATGTTAAGTATTTGAGGTGATGGATATGTTAATTAGCTTGATGTAATTATTGTGTTATATTTGTGAATTATAACATCACTTCATACTCTGTAAATTTATACAATTATAAGTTGTCAATTTATAATTAAAAATGCAGCATTTTCTTTGAGAGAAGATTATGCCTTTGAGTGAAAAACTGGGTTTTTCAAGGGCTAGGTTGAGAAGATTTCTTGGGGGGAAGGGTTGTCCCTTGTATGCTGATTTTGCTGAGAGTTGTAATGATAAAGGGATGCTGGATTTTGTTAAGTGCTTTTTCTGCATCTCTTGAGATGACCATGTGATTTTGTTTCTAATTCTGTTTATGTGGTGTGTCATATGTATTGACTTACGAATGTTAAACCATCCCTGCAACCCTCGTATGAAACTTACTTGATCATGGTAGATAATCTTTTTGATATGCTGTTGGATTTGGTTAGCTAGTATTTTGTTAAGGATTTTTGCATCTATATTCATCAGGGATATTGGTCTGTGGTTTCTTTTTTTTGGTCATATCCTTTCCTGAAGTTTTTGCACAGTAAATGAAACAGCAGAGTAAACAGACAATCCACAGAGTGAAAATCTTCACAATCTATACATCTGACAAAGGACTAATATCCAGAATCTATAAGGAACTCAAACAAATTAGCAAGAAAAAACCAAACAATCCCATCAGAAAATGGACTGAAGACATCAGTAGACAATTCTGCAAGGAAAATATACAAATGGCCAACAAACATATGAAAAAATGCTCAGCATTACTAATGATCAGGGAAATGCAAACCAAAACTGCAATGCAATACCACCTTACTCCTGCAAGAATGGCCATAACCAAAAAACCAAGAAATAATAGATGTTGGTGGGGATGCGATATAAAAGGAACATTTTTACACTGATGTTAGGAATGTAAACTAGTATAACCACTATGGAAAACAGTGTGGAAATTCCTTAAAGAACAAAAGTAGAACTACCATTTGATCCAGCTATCCACTACTGGGTATCTATCCAGAGGAAAAGAAGTCATTATATGAAACAGATACTTGCACACGCATGTTTATAGCAGTACTATTTGCAGCTGCAAAAATATAGAACCAGCCCAAATACCCATCAATGAGTGGATAAAGAAATTGTGATATATATACGTATACACACACACACACACACACACATACATACACCATGGAATGCTGTTTAGCCATAAAAAGGAATGCAATAATGACATTCGCAGCAACCTGGATTGAATTGGAGACCATTATTCTAAGTAAAGTAACTCGGGAATGGAAAACCAAACATTGTATATTCTCACTCATAAGTGGGAGCTAAGCTATGAGGATGCAGAGGCATAAGAATGATACACTGGACTTTGGGGACTAGGGAGGAAGGGTGGGAGGAGGGTGAGGGATAAAAGACTACAAATTGGGTACAATGTATACTGCTTGGGCCATGGGTGCACCAAAATCCCACAAATCACCACTAAAGAACTTATTCATGTAACCAAACACCACCTGTTCCCCCAAAACCTATGGAAATTAAATAAATAAATAACACAAAAACACTAAACGAAAGTGAACTTAAAAAAAAAAAAGCTAGGAGTTTCCCCCATGCACTCAGGTAACTACTACTCTCCCATTTTGATATGTTGTACTTTCATTTTCATTCGTATTTTCAACATATTTAAAAATTTCCCCTGTAATTTTGAAGTTTTTAGTTTTCAAATATTTGGGAATTTTCTAGATATCTTTCTGTTATCAGTGATTAATTTTGTTGTGGTTTTACAGTTGTAGACAATAACAGATGAAAGAGGGACTGCTTCATTTGAGGGGGAGCTTGGTGGGAGTGGGAGAAGGGCTAGAGTATCACCTGCTCGTGGGGCTCTTTGTATTTCCATTGTGACTTTTGAGGGGCTCTCAGATACTTCTAGAATTTCTGTGTTACATAGTCTGAAACCACTGCATAGAATGTGCTGTAAATTTGATTATGTGAAAATGATGCTATGCTGAAGAAGACACTTGGAGGAAAGCAACTAGTACATTGTTAAGTGGCTGTCTGAGGGCAAGCACTTAAAAGATTTGCTGTATAATTAAAATATCCAAAAAATGAGACATTAATGGAAATGTATGTTTCATTATGTAGCATAAATTGAGAATGAGTACCAAGATGGTACTCATGGAAAAACAGAATTGTCTGTCTAGTCGAGATGAAAATATTTGGACCAATGCATACTTTTCAGGAATACATAATTTCAAAATTTCTCAGAGGTTATATTTTTGCATAAGTGATAACATTTATTATTTCCCTTTAATGCAGTTTTTATTATTGATTATAAAGCACTATAAAAGATAGTTTGTTAAAATAAAATTATTTAGCCTTTAACTAAATGTTAGAACTAAGTAAAATGATTAAGTCAGTGCCTATTGTTATACTTGTAAATACTTTAAGTGGACATAGAGGTGGTTCCTGACAGCTACCTGCATGCTTTCTCATCACTTAGAGATCGCAGAACTGTGGTCCAAGAGCTAAGAAAGTTTTTTTTTTTTACCTTTTTAAAGGGTTGTAAGAAAAAAAGAAGAATCTCTGTCATAGACATGTGTAGCCCACAAAGCCTAACTTACTTACCATCTGGCCCTTTGCAGAAAAGTTTGCTGACTCCTGATTTAGAGCAAGAAACAACTCATATTCATGAGGTGAAGGGTGAAGGGTTTCACTGTGATAGACCACTTCAAAAAGGAAGGGTTAACAATTACTGAAAAGATAGCATGAATCTTTCTAATTCTTTCTTAACTAACTTATCCAAGGGGCTGGCATCAGAATCTTTTCTCTGCACTGACCAATTTATGTCTAAATGGGGAAATTTGGCATCACTCTGCATTTGAAAAACACTATCACACAGAAAAGATTGATAATGAATAGGTTCATTTATTTTTCAAGAATAGTATTCTTTAATAAACGTAATTTTAAGATAAGTTTTGTATTATGTATAAGTCACTTTTTAGTTTTTAGATATATAGCTTAATTTTTAAAACCTCTTCAAACCACTTAAATTTTGAATTGTGTATGTACAAATTATATTGACCTATATATTTTTCAGGATGATTGTCTTTTGAAAGTGTGGTATCCTATGACTGGTTGGAAGTCTTCAATTATACCTCAGGATCATCATGAAGTGAAAAGGAGACAGTCCTCTACTCAATTTTCCTTTGTTTACTTGGCACATCCCCGAGCTGTGACAGGTTTTTCATGGCGTAAAACTAGCAAGTATATGCCCAGGTTAGATGAATGAATCATACAACTTTAGTTTGTATCCTTTTATGTTTATAAAAATAATGAAAGTAAAGTCCTTTTAGTTTATTTACATGGTGGCAATTAATAGCATAGGCTGTGGCATCAAGCTGCCTGAAATCAAATCCTGTTAGCTTCATGAGTTTTTGACTAAATTTCTTAAGCTGTCTATGCCTCAGTTTTTCTCTGTAGAATGAGGGTAGTAATAGTACCTACCTCCGAGAGTTGCTGTGAAACTAAAATGTAGTTTGTGGGTGGGAAGTGCTTAGTACAGGCCTTTGCACATACTTTGTGTCCAGGCAATGAAATTGTTAGTAGTAGCTGTGGTACTAGTAGATCCTAGCAAGAAAATGTTTGCAAATAACAGGAAAGCACATACTGAAGGGAAATATATCAGTATAAAACTGTCAATTATATGGTGTTAAATCATATAATGTAGTCTGAAGAAAGTGGCCAGGTTGTACTTTTTTTTTTTTTTTAATCTGAGGGCTGTCAACAGAAGTTTCTCAAATAATTTTTTATTATACATTTTTTCCTCATCGTTGTGGCACCTCTTAAAGGTATTTAGAAGATTAAATAAACTGCAAAACAGCTTATACAAATGATTATTTTATACAGGTCTAGAAAGCTGTTGGGCACTCAGAAGCTTGCTTAGAAATCTAGTTTGTTCTTGAGGGAGGGTTATTTCGCCTACTAAATATATCTGAGGATTGTTTATGCCTGATAGGAAATATAGCACACATTGTAGAGATACTCAGTAAATGATAACATGGGAAATTTATATACTTTTTGAATCTAAATAAAAAGTCTATTCTACTTAAGTCATCTGCATCTATTTGCAGAATACTTTTGACTTAGATTCTATATGAGCCTTTTTTTAAAGGGAGAATGATTTTTTTGTTCCTTTGTAACCAAGAGGTAAGTTACTTTCGTTGCTCCATGCCATGCCATTTTTGCTTATTTTTACTTAATGGAAATGGATTTATAGTTTGAAATGATATTCTCCTTACAGTTTTACGATGAAGATAATTATTTATTTGTAACTGTTTGGGTTATAGGAAGGATGATGTAAAGTGAAACTACTGCCATAAGCCAGATAGTTTAATTACATTTAATGATCTTTTATTATGGTCATTCTGTAATTTGCAATGATTAGGTTTTCTTTTGCTGTTTAGTTTGTATATTTTGTTTAGGAGATACTAATAATCCTCTAGAACCTGAATGTATAATCTAGCAGTAATTTCTAGTTCTTTTTTCAAAACAATTTCCTGGTTCTTATGATGTTCACAGTGATACTGTATATGATTTCAAGGTCTTTGATTGATTACTTTTTCCCATCGTGTTTTGCTCTAATGTTAACTTTATGCATGAAGAACCAAAATATTAATTAATTGATGGGATTGATATTCACGTTAACCTCTATTTATTTCTCTTTGTTGTTAGGGGTTCTGTCTGTAATGTGTTATTAACTTCGTGTCATGATGGTGTGTGCCGGCTCTGGGCAGAAACTTTATTACCAGAAGACTGTCTTTTGGGTGAGCAGATTTGTGAGACTACCACTTCCAGCATTGCCAGCAACCTTTCTCATGCTGGAAGACACAAAGACAGAATACAGCATGCTCTTGAGGTATTATATTATTTAAAATGGTAAATGAATTTTGAAGATAATGTGAGCCTGGTGGAAATTTATAAACTAATATGCAGATGGCCCACATGGTACATGTAATGAGTGAAATTAATAGCAATAAACTCTCATTTATGCTTGTAAGACTACTTATTTATTCCACTAAGAAGCCAAATGCAGAAATTAATGATCTCAGACATGTTGTATAGGTAAATATTATTAACAATTTTTTTAAAATTGATATTTTATGCTCAAGTTCTAGATAATATTATTTTAATTCTTTTGCATGTCAGATGTGAAAATGTATAGGAGTAAGAGTAAAATATGTAAAGGTCCTTGAAATTACTTGTAATTAAAAATATTTTGCTTTTGTTTCATAAAGATTAAAATTTTATTGTTCTAGTTAAAAATGACTATTTTGTTCCTTAAGAATAAAGATGTTTATTAAGATATTAGACACAACTGAACTTCTTTGGAGTTTCCATGATTGAATATTTTGAAAATGAAATAATTTTTCTAATTTTTAAATACAGTATGAAATAAAAGTGCTTTATAAGAAATTAGATTATAACATATAGCACAAATGATTGTGTCCCATATGATTAGGTAATACAATGAGATATATGCATATTTTAAATTGTCAGAAATGTATTATAGTAAACTTAGTTTACTATTTTTCTTGTGACTTTTTTATTCAAATAATGTATGCTAGAATTGAATTAAGAAAAGGAGAAGAAATAATGGAATTTATAATTCAACTACTCTAGTCATGTGAATATGTGTATTTTTCTTTATAAGATTGAGATCATATTATGCAGTAATATTTTATAACTTTTTATACTTAATTTGTTACACTCTACATTATTGACTATACTTTTACTTTATATATTTACATTAACAGTTTAAAGCTTGCATAGTCAAAGTGGCTTTGCCATTTTACCAAGCAGAAATATTGTACAACTTTGACAGGTTAAGGATTTGGTCCTTAAAAGTTTTGTATGAAGCAGGCGTCCTCAGATATTGTCTATATTAGGCCATTCTTGCACTGCTATGAAGAAACGTCTGAAACTGGGTGATTTATAATGAAAAGAGGTTTAATTGCCTCTTGGTTCTATAGGAAGCATGGCACCAGAATCTGGTTGGCTTCTAGGGAGGCCACAGGGAGCTTTTACCCATGGCAGAAGTTGAAGCAGGAGCCAGCACATCACATGGTGTAAAAGCAGGAGCAAGAAAGAGTTGCGGGGAGGTGCCACCAACTTTTAAATGACCATTCACTCGCTATTGCAAAGACAATACCAACACCAAGCCATGAGGGATCCGCCTCGTGACCCAAACATCTCCCACCAGGCTCTACCTCCAGCAATGGGGATTACAATTCAACATGAGATTTAGGCAGGGTCAAGTATCCAAACTATATCACTGCCTGTGATTGGCGCTATTTTTACATTGTTTTCAATATTTAAAATGTAAGTGAAATTAAAAGCAGACGTCAAAACAGTTATCTTTTATTTTGATACTGATATTTAGTAGGACAAAGTACTTAATTTTTAACTAGATATTTATGATCATTTACTTATACTTATGTAACGTATTTTATCTTCAAATTATATATGAGCCTTTGGAAACTAAGGGCTTTTAGACATCTTTGTATCCTCCATAGTACCTGATATATTGCTTTTCAAGTGTTTGTTAAATTGAATTATTGCCATGTGAAATAGAACAGAAATATGAGTAAATATGTAACCAGTGATTTGACAAGTTTTAACTGTCTTTTAGTAATATTATTAATATGTTAAGATAGTTTTTAAAAGAAAAAGCATAAGTGTCTGACTTACAAGTCACTTTGCTTTCTGACATCCTATCCTTTCCTATGGAACTCCTAACTGTTAGGTCTATATAATTGTATATATTCTTAAGTTATATTTTTTGTTTCTAGGAGAAAATAGCCAGTATTAGATCAGTCTTGTCAGTCTAATTTAAAATAATGGTAAATATCAAAGATCCAGTAAAAATAATTTGATAGGCAGTTTGGACCAGGGGGTCTCTAATGTCCATCTTAACCCTGCTATCAAAGCAATAAGCAACTCCGTAGTGGGAGACCAGAGGTGGGGGACACACCATTGACCTGATACTATTTTCCATAGGTAAAATGAGAAGGGCTGTAGAAATTGAGAGGATATACCAGATATGTTACTTTAATGAAGAAAGAATTGATAACATTTTATACTTTATTTAATTGAATGTGGAGAACAAAGGAAAAGAATAGAAAATTATTATGAAACATGGTCTTGGGAGTGGGTTAAGTTACAGAATAAGGAATTACTGCGAGGTGGGGCCATGACATGGAGAAAAAAGATAATGCCAAGGATGACATGGCCCCATGTCTAAAATAGTCCACATGATCACACATGCTAATGAAGAATTTTAATCATATAGATTTATCTCAATTTAAACAGATCCAATTTGCAAATTGTTTAAAACAATTTAAACAAATTAAAGGTCAACACTTTAATGAGGTCTTTCCTTGTCTACTCCTATCTGGGTAGGTTCCCCTTGTTATTCTGTATTTTCATACCCTGTTTTTTTCTTTATAATCGATATCATGAATTTGATTATTTAGCTGACTGTTTCATTCTAAGTGAGAGGCAATATTGGGGAGGCAATATTCTTCCTGGTAGGAAGACTCAGGAATTTTTTTTTACTCTTATGACTAGAAAATTCTGTCTCAGTGCTAGGATATCCTGAAAAAAAAAAATCTTTGGACCTTCTAATATTAACGGGAATTTTTATTCATGTTTTGTAGATAACATGAATACGTATTTTTGCACACTACTTTTTGCCTCGAACTAAAAGTTTACAAGAACTGTAGAGAATACATCCAAAATAGTTCTACTGTAATTTAAAAAGTTCCCTTTAAAATGATCAGGGTTTTATGGAGAAAAAAATCTGAAACCTTTTAATAATTAAGAGTATTTTGGTTGGCGTTTATTAGACCTTCAAGAGTTGGGCTCAGCAGCTATTTTTCTATTTTAGACAATACACCATTTGAAAAATTTAAGGAAAGGACAGAGGAGGTCATCTGTTCTTGTAACTCACGCTGAATTAATGCCCGACCAGACAGCAATGCATGAAGTTCAAAGACACATTTCCCACCATGCAAATGCACTCTGTCATTTTCATATTGCAGCAAGCATCAACCCTGCCACAGGTAAAGGATAAAGTTTTATTTCCCATAAATATGTTGAAGTCAGGTAAATAAATAGAAAAGTGGAACTACTTTTATAACCTATTTTTTATTTTATTATTTCATGTTGCCTTTAAAATACTTAATTGGAATAGAGATACAATATAGAGTACCGTTTTTTGAATTGGGACTATGTGATTCTCAGGGTGTTAACTTCAGTAACTATTTCTGAGCATCTTTATCTAGTCTATAACAAGGTTTCCCAGTAAATTAGAGCTTTAACTGAATCTGATGTCACAAGTGGTGGCAGCCTGGCAAATTAGTGTAATTTCCCTCACTTTACAGTTTAAATCTTCCCAACTCTTTTTTATAACCTCCTCTAAATATATTTTTACAAAGTTTTTCTTATATCTCAGCATATCTTGTTTTCTACCCTTGTAGACTTTCTTGTCCTATACTAAGGAAAACATTTTTCCTTCTAACTTGAATATTTTCTTTTCCCTTTTTCCCCTATGTGGCTGAGAAGTATTTTGAGGCAGGTTCTTTGTTGGCACACATATTTGTGAGCTTCTATTTTAAAGGCAATATGTTTTCCTTCTGCATGGAAATTTATGAGAAAGGCTATAAATTTTATATTACATTGCTCAGAACTATATAAAGTTTTATATAAAATTATAGTTGTATGTTATTGAACTGGAGGTCTGTTGCCTCAGAGTGAAGGGGCTTTTAGTTTTAAATGTTTCTGTATGTAAATACAGTATTTAGTAAATAGAATTCTAAAAGCGTGATCTTCAGTGGTGACTCTAGATATGTGTTGTTTTATAGAGTAGCCACTAGCCCTGTATTAGCTGTTCGAGCACTTGAAATGTGGCTGGTCCAAACTGAGATATGCTGTAAAATACACACTGAATTTCCAAGACTTAGTATAAAAAATAATGAAAACTATTTCATTAATAATTTTATTTCATATTGATTACTTGTTGAAATACTGTTTTATATATGTTGAGTCAAATAAAGTATATTATTAAAATTAATATTACCTGTTTCATTTTACCTTCTGAAACATGGCTACTGAAATATCTAAAATTGCTTAACATGTCTTGCATTTTTGGTCTGCATTATATTTCTATTGGACAGTGCTTTGCCATCTGATTAAATGTTATTTTGTTTATATTATCCGTTCTGATCTAATATCTTAATTGTATTCTAAGAATGTCTTTATACATTAACTTGTTTTCAAAATGTTTATGGTTTTAGATTTTTATGAAATTTTAACCTTTTTAAAAGGACCTTTTCTTGAATTACTGTCATAAAAATTTAACTTCAAAACAAAATGCAACTTGTGATAGTCTGCAGTAAATTCAATACATTTTAGAAACTTTGGCTTTTTAACTGTGTACACTATCCTAATTAGATAGAATAGGATCACAGAGGATGCGCATTCTGTCACATCATTTGAGCCTAAGGACTGGATATGTTCTTGCAGCCACGGGGCCCTGGTCTTCCCCAGCTTCTTTACTAACCATCACTAATTTTATTCATGCTCATCCTAACTTACCTACATATTATTTTAAAAACAATTTTCTTAAAAATGTTTAACATCATGCATTTTGTTACTACATGTAAATGTAACATTTAAGTTGACCAAATAGATTACTAAATGCAAATAATTTTATATCGTTAGGACTTACCCTCTTCACCTTTTTTTCAAAAAATTTTTTGAAACTACAAGAAAGTTGAAAAAATAGTACAGCAAATATCTATATACCATTTACTCAGATTTACCACATATTAACATCTTGTCATTTATTCTTTTGTTCTCCCCTCTCTGCCTTTATAGATATGTCTTTGCTGCCTCCTCCCTTATTTTTGGCGGAACTATTTGAAAGTAAAGCTGTTGATTACATTACCCTTCACCTCCTAAATATTTAAGAATGTATCTTTTAGTAAAAAGGGAATTTGCTTCCATAACTCTAATACTGTTACTGCATGTGAGGAACATGGATAAAATAATACCATGTAATATATAGTTCATATGCAAATATAGATTCCTGTCTTAAATGCAGATTATTTTCTTTAAATTCCTCCAATCTAGAACAGTCCCTCTCTCAACTGTCAAAAAAACAATCTGTCAGTCTCAAAAAGTTGTCTCTCAGTTTTCTTTCAAAATGTCTCACAGTCTGAATATTTGTTCATAAGATTTAGGTTTAACACTTTGAGCAAGATTACTACATAGTCACATAGGTGATGTAGTGTTTCATAGGAGTGCTGATTCACAAATCCTATTTTATATGATTTATTTCATTTTTATCACAAAACCAGGATGGTCATCCAGGAACTGGAAAGAAAGAACAATTTAAAGCATTATTTAGCATTCATATTTATTATAATAGAACATTACCAGAATGTCCATGCATTTTATCTTTAGATTTTCACTTCTTTTTGCAAAGGACAATTTTTCCTTCTGTTGAATGAATTATTTATAACATGGATTGAAATTAAGGAGATTAAGTTTTTGATTTACACCATGTTTTGGGCGGAGGGGGACAGGGTCTTGCTCTTTTACCCAGGCTAGAGTGCAGCCTTGATCTCTTGGGCTCAGGCAATCCTACCACTTCAGCCTCCTGAGTAGCTGGGACCACAGGTGTGTGCCGCTACTCCTGGCTAATTTTTGTATTTTTTGTAGAGACAGTGTCTCTCTGTTTCCCAGGCTGGTCTCAACTCCTAAGTTCAAGCAATCCTCCTGCCTTGGCCTCCAAAAATGCTGGGGTTACAGACACGAGCCACTACCCTGGCCAATTTATACTGTCTTACATGACCTCATCAACTTCATAAATTTCAGTTACCTCAAATGGAGAAATTCTCTCTTACTTAGAATTTTGCCTGCCTTCTTGTGTTTTTTCTTCATGTTATTTCCCAACAGGTTTTTAGTAAAGTTTCAAACACTGAGAAAGGTTGGAAGAATAGTACAGTGAATACTTTTATATTCTTCACTTTGATTCAACAGTTGTTAACATCTTGCCACAGTTGCTTTATGTGTGGCAAATGTCTCTGTGTGTATGTGTGTGAAATGTTTTGTTTTCTTTTTCTTTCTTTCTTTCTTTCTTTTTTTTTTTTTGGGAAACGGAGTGTTGCTCTGTCACCCAGGCTGGAGTACAGTGGAGTGATCTGAACTTATTGCAACCTCTGCCTCCTGGGTTCAAGCAATTCTCCTGCTTCAGCCTCCCAAGTAGCTGGGACTACAGGCACACCCCTCCATGCTGGGCTAATTTTTTGTATTTTGTATTTAGTAGAGATGGGGCTTCACTGTGTTGCCCATGCTGGTCTCAAACTCCTGAGCTCAGGCAATCCACCCGCCTCTCCCTCCCAGAGTGCTAGGATTACAGGCATGAGCACACAGTCGAAATGTTTTCTTAGTCTTTTCAAAATAAGTTATGCCTAATATGGTGTATCACCCTTACATTAGCAAGTATCTCCTAAAATTCTCTCACATAATCATAATATCATCATACCTAAGAAAATGATAAGTAATTCCACAATATCTAATATCCAGTTCATATTTAAACTTCTCCAGTTATCTCTTTTATGGCTGCTTTTCTGCTTTAATTTTTCATCTCCTGTCCCCAAACTAGAATTCACTGAAGGTTGATACATTTGTGTATTTTGTTTTTAAGTTAATAGTTTAATTTCATATAAATCTATCATTCTTAAGATTTACATTTACCATTAAATTCAGGTAACGTTTTTACAAATGCTGCTAAAATTATGTTGACTTGTTTAGCACCTTTTCTTTGTATAGATTACTCATTGTAAGCACTTGTCATGTTTTTAAAGAAATAAATTTATATTAAAATCTTTTTTATTTCCACAGATATTCCAAATGTCTTGGTTGGCACTGCATTTAATGTTGATGATGGAAATGGGGGCTTTGTAGTTCATTGGTTAAACAACAAGGAATTTCATTTTACGTCATCTACAGAAATATTTATGCATCAGTTACGAAAACTTTCTGATAAGCAGGTAGATCATGAAAGTGATGATGCAGACAGAGAAGATGAGGAACATTCACAGGAGGATAGAGAACGGGGTTTACATATGAAATTAGACCATGGTTAGTATCCTGTGTTCAGGTTTTTCTTACTCCAAAGTTAACAGCCTTCTGTGGTACCACTTTTAGTTTTGAATTCTTCCTTCCTGCTCTTCCTCCTTTTTACTTCTCTATTTGTTACACAAGTATTTACTGACCATCTGCCTTGGATCAGGCACCCTGCTAGGTCCTGCAAACATCATCTAATTACATGTTTTGTTATAACATATTTCTTTGAGTCTTTGGACGCCATAGCCTTTTCTGGGGAACAGGTTTTGCTAATGGTAGTAATAATGATAGGGTGAATGAAGTTTTAATTTATCTAAAAGTAGTAACTATAGTAACTTTCAATTCAGACAAAAATTTCCTTTTTTTTCCTAACTGTAAATTGCAAAAGAGATTTATAGTTTTTAAAGATAGTATGCCGTTTATTTGTAGTCTAGTATGTAAATGAATTACTTAATGCATGTATTGATAAATATATTTTCTGGTTCAGATTTATCCCTGGATAGAGAATCTGAGGCAGGTACAGGATCATCGGAACATGAAGATGGAGAAAGAGAAGGAAGTCCTAGAACTTATTCACGACTTAGTGTACCAATGCCACTGCCTACGGTTCTGCTTGATCGGAAGATTGAAACGCTGCTAACTGAATGGAATAAGAATCCTGATATGCTTTTTACAATACACCCTGTAGATGGTACTTTTCTAGTGTGGCATGTAAAGTATTTGGATGAATATAATCCTGGAATATTTAGACAAGTCCAGGTATATTTTATTGATGAAATAGTTATTACGTTTCTTAAAACAATAAAAAGAAATAAATGCTTTGTAGAGTTAGCATGTTTGTAGAATTACTGAAAATTTTGGTTTTGATAAGCATCTCAGTAAAGAATACTTATTGCTTTCAGAAGGGATCAGTGACCATAAGCTTAGCAAACTTGATTAGTTAGAAGATAATGAATTTGGCCTTGAAATGCAACTGAATATTTAAATATGTGTTGATTTTGGGGGGAATTAATAATATTTTGAATAAGATTAAGAAACTACCCTGAAAATATGAATCAGGATGAGCTCATCCTTGTGCCCAATTTGATGAGCTAAACGAAGCTGCCTTTACTTGTCATCTCTCTCAACTTTATTGCTATTTAGATCTGTGGCTGGTGGTCATTTTGTTGTATAAGCAAAGCACCTGAACTTTTTTTCTTCAGCCTTCTCTTAGGCCACGAATAGAGATATGATATTACGTAAATAGAAGAAAGGGACTGAACCATAAAGAGGTTGAAAATGACATTTTTTGAGAAGAAGCTGAGATTTGGTATTTTGAGAAGTCTTTTTTTTGAGAGGAGGTAAACTGTTTGTACTGAATCATATAATTATGTTTTTCAGGTTTCTTTTTCTTCTCGGATTCCTGTTGCATTTCCCTCTGGTGATGCTAGCTCTCTTAGTAAAAATATCATGATGTATGCCTGTATAAATGCAACAAAAGATTCCGACCACACCTTGTTACACCAGGAGGGGATGTCTATAGGCAGTCCTCACGGATCACAGCCACACTCTAGATCACACAGTACAAATATGAACATCTTAGCTCCCACAGTGATGATGATTTCTAAACACATAGATGGTTCTTTAAATCAGTGGGCAGTCACTTTTGCTGATAAGTCTGCCTTTACCACTGTTCTAACTGTATCTCACAAATTTAGATATTGCGGTCATCGATTTCACCTCAATGACCTGGCATGTCATTCAGTTTTACCATTGTTATTGACATCCTCTCATCATAATGCTCTGTTGACTCCTGAATCAGATTATCAGTGGGACTCGGACAATAAATTAAGTAGATTAATGGACCCTGTAAAACATATGAAAGGTTCCTCAAAACAGCCTCTTAGAAATGCAGCAACTCGTACATTTCATGACCCAAATGCGATCTACAGTGAACTTATTCTGTGGCGTGTAGACCCAATAGGACCTTTGTCATACACTGGAGGAGTATCAGAATTGGCTCGAATTAACTCTTTACATACCTCAGCGTTCTCTAACGTGGCTTGGCTTCCAACTCTCATTCCCAGTTACTGTCTAGGTAAGTGTTCATTGTAATTGTGAAATTAACAAAAGCTTTTAAACTATTATTTGTTATATACAAAATGGTTTATATTGTTGTTATTAAGATGATTTTTAGTAAGTATTCAGTTTTATTATTAAGGTGATTTTTAATATTCAGAATACAGGCATGAAACTTATTTTTAGAACTTTTTTTTAGAAGTTTTTAACCTCAATCCATTTTTAAATTAAATCTTTTTGTTAATAATTTTGTATCTACTTATTGTACCTGTTTAATTATGATTCTAGACCATGGTTAAGCCTAAAAAGAAAAAGGTGAATACTTGTTTCTTATCCTTTAGCCAATAAGAAAAATAAACTACTTGTTTAGAACCTAGAGTCCTTGTTTTCCTTTCTCAGGCACATATTGCAATTCTGCAAGTGCTTGCTTTGTTGCTTCTGATGGCAAAAATCTGAGACTCTATCAAGCTGTAGTGGATGCAAGGAAATTATTGGATGAATTGTCAGACCCAGAATCTTCAGTAAGTATTTAATAATCTTTATTAATTTATCTAAGGTGATAAAGAATTCTCTTTTGACTTTGTCTAGGACCTATATTTGTTAGTTGCTGTTTAGGGAGTAAGCATATGTTCTGGGCTGCATATGACATATATATGACACATTTATTTTTTCCTAAGTTGTGTTCCAAGGTATATGAATCAAAATTTTAGTGTACATACCACACATTAATACATTTTACATAAAAAGGAATAAAAAGGATTTTTTCAAAAATATTATTTGTTTGTAACATATTTTACTCTCTAGTTTGGTTCTTTTAATCTTACTTTGCTCAAAAAAGGTTTTAAGACATCTTTATCAAGCTGTATGTTTAGGTTGGAAAACTGGAACTTTTTCAAGCTTGATTGACCATTTAAAAAAATTCTCTGGTTAGAATTTGTTATCAGTGGGTGGCAGCATCTCATTCTGATAGTTCTGTATCTGAGCTAGAAGTCATATACGATAGTATCTAGAGTTGAACAGATTTTCCATTTACCTATAAAAACGACTATTCTAATAAAAATATTTCCAGTATTGAAAACCAGTGACTATTTTTGAGCATCTACTGTGTTCTCCTAGATGTAAAGGGAATGCAAAATATAAGTTTCAGATCTACCTTTAAGGAGCTTTTAATTTAGTTGAAGAGAAAACGTATTAATAAAAAGTTAAGTAGCAGTTTAAGACGTAAGACGAGAAGTCTAAGGGTGATACGTAATTAATTGCCAAAAGGATGGCCCTAGAAGTGTTTCATTATTCAGAGGAGAGAGAGAGATCAAATTAAGGTAGGCATGGAAGTCTTTATTAAGGGCAGTATTTGGGTTCATTCTTGATAGGTGGATAAGATTTAGAAAGATAAATTCTTTGTCTTTGCCTGAGTGAGAAAATTGCCTGAAAGTAAGTGTAGATACGGGAAAGTACACATGTAAAGCTTGTTCCAGAAACAGTGAGAAAACCATTTGGATTAGAGCTTAAGGTTTGGCATAGAGAAAGTCTAGAAAAATAGAATCATAGAACTAGAATTGGAAGATACTTTAAAGGTCACCTGGTCTCACCAGCCATCTGATGCTTTATTCCCCTCTGCTTCATTCCTGCCAATTTGTCATCTGGCCACCGATGAGGGAGACTCAACTCTAAATGCAGCTCGTTCTATCCTTGAATAGCTCACACAATCATATTTAAATGCTATTTATTTTGTGTAAATTCTGCTTGTTAGTGCTAGTTCTACTTACAGTAAATCTAATATTTCTTGCATGTGAGAACACCTCAAGATATTTAAAGACAGCTTTCTTGTAACCTGTGAACCTTACTACCTCAGGCCAAACCTGCTCCCCCTGTGCCTATCAAGTTTCTTTAACTGTTTTACATTTGACCCTGGTTACTCTTCTGAGCAGGTTTCCTTTGTCTGTACTCTGAGCCTTGTAGGATGACTAAAACATAGCAATATTGTGACCTCTCTCATTAGATACATTTATGTTTTGACAGGCACTCCACATTATTTGTATGTAATTGATTCATCATGAGCTGACTCTCAATATCCCGAAGTCTTTCCCTGTCCCTGCCCTCTGCTATAGCCTTGTCTTCTCCATTCTGTATTTGTGCATTTGGATTTGGGGTCCAAATGTAGACCTGTTTTTTCCTATTACATTTCATCTTGCTGAGCGCAACTAAACAGTCCAATCTCTCAGTATCTTTTTGAATCTGGATTATGTTATTTAATGTATTTGTTACTGCTTTATGACTGTGTCACCAGCCTATTTGAAGAGTGTTACATCTACATTATCTGAGTCAGTTATTAATATGATAAACAGGCAGGTCTGAAGAAAGAACCTAGCAGTATACATTTGAAATCTTTCTCCATTTTCATTTTTTGGAATGTTTTCCAGCTTGTTTCAAGGATTTCTGTGAGACAGCCTGTCATATACTTTCTGAAATAAAATACACTCTTTCTACCTTCTGAAGTCAAAGAAGAAAGTCAAAGTTACATGAGGTGATTTGTTTTAATATATGATAGGTATAATGTACACACCTTGACATCTCTTGGTGACCAAAACATTGTACTAGATAGACATTAAGCTCCTCAGTCTGCCCTGCGGAAGTATGCTCTTTTCCTTTTTGAAAATGGGAATTTTTGCCTGTTTTTAGTTTTCTGCCATTGATGGCATTCCCCATGATTTGGGGGATTTTGTATTTTCTTATGGTTCTGTTTGTTCTCCGTTATACTTAGTGTTTTGTTTTTGGTGGTACCTCAAGGTTTTATAATATGCATCTTTAACCTCTCATAGTCTACCTTCAAATAATAATATAGTACTCAAAATATAATGTAGCTAGGCACGGTGACTCACACCTGTAATCCCAGCACTTTGGGAAGCTGAGATGAGAAGATTGCTTGACCCCACGAGTTCAGACCAGCCTGGGCAACATAGTGAGACCCCATCTCTAAATATATATATAAATATATATATTTATAATGTAAACATATATAAATATATAGTAAACAACTTTCAGTAGTATCCCCAATCTCCCTCTCCTGTGGTCTTCAGCGTGCATGTCCTGTGAATGTTTTGTTAGGTTTATACGTAAGTATTTTATTTATTCTACTGATTGTAAATGGTACTGTCTTTTTAATGTTGATGTCCATGTAGTCACTGTCAGGATATACAAATACAGTTGAATATACAAATACGATTGAATATACAAATGCAGTTGAATTTTGTGTGTTTATCTTGTATCCTGTAACATTGCTGAATGCATGTATTAGGTGTAGGAGTATTTTTGGTAGATTTCTGGGACTTTTCCATGTAGATAATTGTCTCATTATATAAATGGGAACAATTTTATTTCTTCCTTTTCTAATCTGTATGTTTTTTGTTTTTCTTATTTTGTTGTGGTAACTAAAACTTCCAACACTATTTTGAATAAGAAGTGAGATTAGATGTTCTTGCCTTCTTCCCATTTTTGGAGGAAAAACATTCAGTCTTTGATCATTACATATAATGTTAGTTGCAGGTTTAAAAAATTCTTTTAAATTTTTGTGGGTACATAGTAGATGTATATATTTGTGGGGTACATGAGATGTTTTGATATAGGCATGCAATTCTTAATGAAATAATGGAAAATGGGGTATCTATCACCTCATACATTTATCCTTTGTGTTACAAACGATATACTTATACTCTTCTAGTTATTTAAAAATGAGCAATTAAATTATTGACTATAGTCATCCTGTTGTGCTATCAAACACTAGGTCTTATTAATTCTAACTATTTTTTTTGTACCCATTAACCGTCCCTGCCTCCCGCCAATCCCTTACTACCCCTCCCAGCCTCTGGTAATCATCCTTCTACTCCCTATCTCCATGGGTCCACTTGTTTTGATTTTTAGCTCCCACAAATAAGTGAGGACATGCAATATTTGTATTTCTGTGCCTGGCTTATTTCACTTAAAATAATGACCTCCAGTTTCATCCTTGTTGCTGCAAAATGACGGAATCTCATTCTTTTTTATGGCCAATTAGTAGTCTGTTGTGTATAAGTACCACATTTTTTTTTCTTTACCTATTCATCTGTTGATGGATACTTAGGTTGCTTCCAAATCTTGGCTATTTTGAACAGAGCTGCAGCAAACATGGGAGTGCAGATACCTCTTCAATATACTAATTTTCATTCTTTTGGGTATGTGCCCAGCAGTGAAATTGCTGGATTGTATGGTAGGTCTATTTTAGTTTTGTGAGCAACCTCCAAACTGTTCTCTATCATGGTTGTACTAATTTACATTCCCACCAATAGCATATGAGGGTTTTCTTTTCTCCACATCTATGCCAACATTTGTTATTGCCTGTCTTGGATATAAGCCATTTTAACTGGGGTGAGATGATATCTCACTGTAGTTTTGATTTGCATTTCTCTGATGATCTCTGATATTGAGCACCTTTTCACATGTCTGTTTGCCATTTGTATGTCTTCTTTTAAGAAATATCTGTTCAAATATTTTGCCCATTTTTGATTAGATTATTAAGATTTTTTCCTATAGGGTTGTTTGAGCTTCTTATATATTCTGGTTATTAATCCCTTTTCAGATGAGTAGTTTGACGATATTTTCTCTCATTTTGTGGGTTGTCTCTTCACTTTGTTGATTGTATCCTATACTTTTTAACTTGATGTGATCCCATTTGTGCATTTTTGCTTTGGTTTCCTGTCCTTGTTTTGTATTACTCAGGAAATGTTTGCCGAGACCAATGTCCTGGAAGGTTTCCCCAATGTTATCTTGTAGTAGTTTCATAGTTTGAGGTCTTAGATTTAAATCTTTAATCCATTTTGATTTGATTTTTGTATGTGGTTAGTGATAGGGGTCTGGTTTTATTCTTCTGCATATGGATATCCAGTTTTCCTGGCACCATTTGTTGAAGAGACTGCCTTTTCTCCATTATATGTTCTTGGCACCTTTGTCAAAAATGAGTTCACTGTAGGTGTGTGGATTTGTATCTGGATTCTCTTTGCTGTTCCATTGGTCTGTGTGTGTGTTTTTGTGCCAGTACCATGCTGTTTTGATTACTGTAACTCTGTAATATAATTTGAAGTCAGATAATATGATTTTTCCAGTTTTGTTCTTTTTGCTTAGGATAGCTGTGGCTATTCTGGGTCTTTTGTGGTTCAATATAAATTTTAGATCTTTTAAAAATTTCTATAAAGAATATCAGTGGTGTTTTATAGGGATTGCATTGAATCTGTAGATTGCTTTGGGTAGTATGGACATTTTAACTATATCAGTTCTTCCAATCCATGAACATGGAATATCTTTCCATTTTTTTGTTCTCTTCAATTTCTTTATTCAGTGTTTTACAGTTTTTGTTATAGAGATCTTTCACTTCTTTGGTGAATTCCTAGGTTCTTAATTTTATGTATGGCTATTGTAAATGAAATTACTTTTTTTTTTTCCCGAGACAGAGTCTCGCTCCGTTGCCCAGGCTGGAGTGCAGTGGCCGGAT